GGTGGCTTATCTTGTGAACAAATGACAGAGACATTTCTTGGGAAACTGAATAAACCAATGATTTTTTTTCTCCTAAATGCACAGCGAGTGAGAAAATGAGATCTTAGCCGTTGATTGGTTCTCATCTACAAAAATCTAGGCCGTTGGAGCTATACATGGTCGCCACGTTGCATCATTACACGTCGTCGTATTAACGTATTGGGATTGAGTTGAACTCTTTCTTACGAAATCGCCGTTAAGTCCATAATAAAGGTGCAAAATCATGTATTATATATTATGCAAAATATACGGATGATTCTGTGGGACTAAAGTAAATATTATTATTTCAAATTCTTTTTTGGTAGAAAGTGAAACTTTTTATTCTTCACAAGTTTTAGACGCAACAGTTTATAGAGGATCACAATTTTATATATGATCGATATGACCATGAACAAATTTCACACACCGTGACAATCCAAATCTTACAAGTTATATAGATGACTAAACAAGACAATAATAGACTTATTAAAAAAAAGTCTTTAGAGAATTTGGTTTTACATAGACTTATCACAATGGGAATTAAGGTGAGCTTTATTGAGACAATTGAAAGCATCCATGTATGAGACAAAACCCATGAACCAAAACTCAAATCCATCTTGTGTCACCACTTGCACATACCTCTCACTTGGCTTTAACACATTCGATGATGAACTAATCCAACTTACCTTCTCCAATTCCATCACCACCTATTTATACATACACATTATATCAAATGTTACCAACTTAGATTTTTTTTTCCTTGTTTGAAACAAAATTCTCTAAGAAAACTATTGAAACTCGATGGACTGACCTTGTAGTATGCCGGAACACCGTTCCCACCAGCTGAAGAAGGAAGACGAATCGCGTAATCGCTACAGAAAGCGATTCTTTTATTCGAAACGTATAACATTCCAGTGACTGGTCCTGAAGTGGTCGATATGTAGCAAACGAACGAATCCAAGAGTTTCTCTGAGTTTAACACACCAAACTCTCTTTGAAACACTCTCTCTGGTCCACCTTCAACGATCATCTTAGTACCTTGAGCAAGCCTAGCCATTGCTGCATCACTTATGCTAGGACTAAACTTCACTATACATGAATCATATAAATATAAACAAAAGATATTTTAGAGTTATTCTAAAGATATAAAAAAAAGCTTATGTATGTATAAAAAATGTCACACGTACGGTGGTCTTTTAAACCGCCGGCTAATGCTTCCGCCCTACGAGTCACGTCCTCCACTTTCTTCCCGTAACGATTCAACATCTCAAGAACCTTATCCTTCGATCCTATATCATAACAAGAAACGAGATTTATAATTGAAGATAATTATAATGGTTTCTTTTGTTAGTTAAAGATGCTAAACTAAGGAGACATGTACAATATTCATTATTGACTAATTACTTAGTATACTTACTCTTATCAGAAGCCGAGGTGGGAGTAGTGATATGAACGTAAGGATTGTTATTACGACCGTTGGTCTTGTGCTTAGCCATCGAGTCTTTCTCGTTCACGGGCTTGCATTGTGGACTCAT